CTGCACGGTGAGAGAAATAATAGCCTCATGGTTTTCTGGTTTTACCTTTCCGGGGTTCTGTCAGCCCTACACAAAGATGGGTCTCATCTAACCCCTGCTGACATGTAAGTTTTTATCATCAAAGGATTTTTACTGACTTCCTGATACAACATGGCCTGGTGCAGGCTCTCCAGCACCCCAATGCTTAGAAAATGTGGGCCTTTTGGCTACTTCTTATCCGCCTGGGCAGTGTAGAAGGTCCACAAAAGAGGTAAGTTTGGTCTTGAATACAGGATCCGACGGGGCAGTTCAGGGTGGTGACTAGAGACAGTACAGTGGACTCGGCAGTCAGACCCCAGCTCCGTCAGGCTGGGTGAGCTTGGGAAACTGACTTGGCCTCTCTGGGTCTCTGTTTCATTTGTGAAATGGAAAGCCAACATTACCTGGAACTTTTGAGTTGATAATGAAACTACATAGCACTATAGTAAGTTTTGTATTGTTTTTATTATTACGTCTGCTATTGCATTCCCCTAATAACCATGCTGAAAATACAGCTGTCAGTTTTTGTGAGTGCAGCGCACACATGTGCAAAATTTATATGAGAAGAATATGGAGGACACTTTTTCCTTTTTGTAGCTTCCTGCTGGCCTCCCACCGCCCCTCCAGTCCCTGCGATGGCGCACGCACCTCCGCACCACTGCCGTGCGCGTGTCCTGGGGACCGCACGGACCTTCCCGAAGGGTGACTGTGTTGTGCACACATCTCAGCATCCTCCTTCTGATAACACAACTTCATGACAATCCCCCAAGTTGCTGAGTGATGGGAGATTCTGTTTCCACACCAGCTCCCCCGCATCCAACCCATGGCTGCTTTTCTCGCCAGTGTGAGATGAGGCCTACAGGGTCTCGAAAGAAGGGGAAAAAAAAAAAAGTGGCAACACAAAACCGCAATTTCTTGTTTTGGCAACTGAGTCGAATGAGAAGCAAACCTTTGGTCTCCTACTTCCAAAAAAGCAGAACCACAAGGAACATTCCATGCTCACAGGCTCACACGCCCTAATCCACAGGTCTCCGTCTCCAAGGGAGCCCTCAGGGGCCTCTGGGTCCATCTCCCTAGGGCCTCCCGGCTTCCCTCGCCCTGCCCAGGGGCACATCCATCACGGGACACTGCAGTATCTGGCCCAAGCTTGCTCCTTTACGGGCAGACCCCAAACCAACCATCCAAGAAGCAGGTAGGTCCAAGGCTCACTCAGTCTCCTCCTTAAGGGACACGCCTTTGCGGCCCAAACAGAAAACCTCTTTTGCCCCCCAGTGTTGCACATCCCCCCAAAAGAGCCACCATAGCATCCTGAGCTCCTATTCTGTGACTGTAACAGTCCAAAGAACTTGAACTTCAGGTTCATCCCTCCAGGATGCAGGTGCGACACAGGAAAACAGAGGAGGGGAGTTGGGGGACCTTCCCAGCGCTGCCACGGTCAGTGTGGAGTAAAGCCAGGATCTGAACACCAAAAGCCGCCCTCTAGAACCCCACACTCAACCATCAAGCCATGAACAGACACCGGGCACAGGCAAGAGGCCAGGCGGCCTGCTGTTCCCCTCCTTCTGCTGTTCTGCCCCAAAGAGACCACAGGAGCCCCGGAGTTGGGGGTTGACCAGCGGAAATGCAGTAATAGGTCACACAGATCTGGGTTAGAATCCCGGTCCTGCCACCTTAACAAAGCACGCACAAGCCCTTTATAAGCCAGAGAAAGCTTTTGAAGTGGGTAGGGCCTGAGTTCTGGGTTCAGCAGCCTGAAATCACTCCCTGGCAAGGCTGTTGACATGATCCAGGGCAGTTTCCTCATCTGTCCATGGGGATCGTAAGAGCACCCCCTTCAGATCTGTACTGGGAAGGATCAAAAGAGTTGATGGATCCAACGTGCTCAGGAGCGCAAAGGATGAAAACTGTTAGCCCCAAGGTTAAAAGTCATTACCAACACAGGTAAACTGGGGCTTCTAGAAAGTGAGAGCCAAGGACCCCGGGCAACCTCGGTGCTATGCCCAAGCAAGAGCCAACATCGCTAGCGAAGGCTGTCCTTGACTCTTAAATAGACCCACACAAAGACGCCAAGGTCATCTGTCCCCCTTGGATGGGGGTTGGGGGACATACAGTGCCTCCTGGAGGCAGTGGAGAAAGATGGGGAGATTCTGGAGGAACCCAGAACCAAACCAAACCACTGGTTCCTGTGGCTGGAGTTTGGGGAGCTCCCAAAGGAAATTCACTCAGAGCCTATCCTCTTCTCGGTGCTGACTCAGATCTGACTTCCTCCAGGCAGCCCTCCATGACTCCCCCTGCTCACTGGATGCTGGAACCCCATAACCCTAATTGCCAGTCTTATTCGGCTATCACATAATATAATAATTAATGACAATACTGATATTTAAATACCTTCCCACCTGCCAGGCACTGTTCTAAGTGCTTCACAGATATTTGTATAACTCATTTATCCTCTTTTTAAAAAAGTAAACCATTTTTAAAGTGAGGCCAGAGAAGCTAAGCCACTCTCCTAAGGTCACCCTGACCCCAAAGAGTCTGGCTCCATGTCTACCTTGGACTTGGATTCTTATAAACATCCATTCTTGCCACCTTCAATTCAAACATCTCCTTGAGGGCAGGAAGCTGGACCTGGCTCTCTGTCCTCCCCCACAGCACTGAAGTCTACCACAAAGTCCTCATTTCTGGTGGTGACAGCACCTTTAAACCAGGGACATACGGAGGCAGGGGCCACAAGGAATCAAAAGCAGGGAGGGAACACCAAGCATTCTTCCCAGCCAGGAGGCAGGGGGACATCCCCTTAGCAAGCATAAAAGCTGGGAGGAGAGCGAGGGAAGAGGAGCATCACCCTGCTGCTAGCTACCCTCCCCTCTGCTGTGGAAAGCCTCTGTAATTAGCAGTTCCTAAAGCTCTAAGCCTGGGCTTCCAGGAAGCAGCAGCCTTGGGTTATTCAGGGGCTACTACTGATGAAGCCCAAGTAGGAGACATCGATGCCTCCTGCTGCTCCCGAACAGGTACCTGGCTCAGATCACAGACACAAAGGACAAGACAGAGGTGGCTAGATGGGCCCAAGAAGTCCACGTTGGAACCAGCTCATCTCAGAACTGAAAGATCAGCCAAAGCAAAATTTTGTTATGAATTCAGCCACTTAAAAGTGTCAAAAAGATAACGAAGAAGTTCAGAATTTTTTTTTCCTTCCTGCTCCCTCACTAAGAATGGCTGATTCAAATCAATTTCCATTATTTCAGCTTCCTTGGCCTCGACATTCAGACAGTTTAAAACCGCAGTTAACGCAAACACAGCCTATATATCTGTTCAGAAACAAATCACACCATCTAGGGTCAAGGGGGAGAGAGGAATATTTTCCATGTAATAGAAAAATTGGTTTGTCTTTCCTCTTTCCCTTCCAGAAAGATGAGCCGGGAGTGGCTCAGAAGAAGAAGTGAGGAGTCCCCTAGAATCTGACATTGCTCAGGGGTAACCAGGGCTGTCTACATCTTTAATTCAAAAACTGCCAGCCTCAAGCTGGGCAGATTCCTTTTTTAAACTGTGAGCGAGATGGGACAGAAATGCCAACCGGGTCTCACGGGCCTTTCTAGAAAGGTCCTTTAAGCCAAATGGCTTCAATGCCTCTCTGCGGGACCACTGCTCTCCACCTCCCCCTCCTTCCCCCCCCCCCCAACCCTCAAAGCGCACACACACAAGACACTCCTCACAGGAAGAAGGGCTCGACCTCACACAGCCCCCACAGCACCCTAAGCCAAGAGGCCCGAAGGATGCCAGACTCCCCTTTTCTCCTCCGAGACTGAGAGCTGCACAGCCTGCCTCTGGGGTCTCTAAAGAACCGCCGCCGCCGCCACCCCCGCCAGTCCTTCCTGAACCAGGATTAAAAGACTTCCTAGCGCTAAGAAAGGAGTAAATGAGGTCCCAGCAGGAGGCACGGAGATTAAAGCCCTGGGAGTCTCCTAACTTCCAGCCCAAGCTTGGCCCCAGTCCCACCCCTACACACTCGCACACTCACTCACACACTCACACACGCTCTCACACACGCTCACTCACTCATACACCAGCCGCTTTTCTCACTTCCTTGGAGAGAAGGGAATTGGCTCCTTCCTCTCACAGGAGAAAAAAAAAAAAAACGCACCCAGGCTCTAGCACACCGAGGGGCTGCTGGTTCAAAGCCAGGTATTCCCATTAAGCAGCTGTGTGATGCTGGGCGAGTTACTCAACCTTTCTGGAGCAAAACCCCACCATCTAAAAGAATGAAGGGAAAAAACCGTCCCCACTCCCTGGGCCACTCGTGGAAAGTCAAACCTTCGCATGGCACATGTAAGCGCCCGGCGCCTAGGGAGGGCTCGCCTGTTGTTTTACAACTCGCCAGAGGCTTGCAACTGGGCGATGGGGGGAGTGGGGGCCGCTGGGCTGCAGAGAGATGAATTCAAAGTCTCCTCGAGCTCCAGGGTACCCCGGGATTTCGTCGATCTCGGTCCTACCTCCGGGCTTGGGGTTTTCTACCCTCTCCGCGTGGAGCCACACCGAGCTCTAGAATTTCTAGGGTGCATCCCAGATGAGTAGTCGGCGGTGCACTAGGCGGCGAAGAAATCCCGGGAAAAAACGCAGGAGCGAAAGCTGCCGGCGCCTGGGTCCCAGAGCCCCCGCCTCGCGGATGTAACTAATTTTAAAACTGTTTGCAAGGCTGGAGGACTGGGGAGACAAAAGGGCAGCGAGCCGTGCGGGAGACGTGGGGTCCCGGCTCGAGCTCGAGCCGGCCGGGGGGTTGGGGAGGGGGGCGACTGCTCGGCTTGGAGGAGCCCCGACCTCCCCACGGCTCCGTGCGCCCCGCGGAGCACCCCTACGGCGACTCCCGCGCCCCCCCCCAGGCTGTGGCCACAGGTTGGGGGTCCGCTCCGCGCGGGAGGCCCCAGCGCTCCGCCGCGGGGCCGCCGGCCGAAGAGGAGGCTGTGCCCGGGCTCCCAGGCGACACTCACCGACTGCAAGAAGCGCAAGGTGCCCACGTAGTCCCGCTCGGTGCCCAGGATCTCGTTGAGCACGCAGAGGCGG